GTTGACCTTCTCAGCTTATCACATGCTTTAAGAAGAACCATMTACTCTTGTTTGAACATTTCCCTCCTGCTTTTCTTTCAGATCTTGTTTGGGGAAGACAATGAATAATTTGATGCATATTCATATTCTCCATGTTGGTTTGCTCAAATAATGTCATTTACCTCTTTTAMCAAATTCACATGTTATTTCAACATAGAGCTGGTTATTTCAACATAGAGCTTCACTTTGCAGAAGGCTGCCAAAATGAAGGCTACAGAGCACCGAACAGCTATGAAAATTTGAAGATTTAGCAAGATGGAGTCATATACATATTTATTCATGCTTTCATGATGTAAAATTCAGCAAGTTAATTTAATTAATTTAAGCATGAAGAACTGCAGTTAAAGAGTTTTGTGAATAAGGAGAATTTGACAAAAAAAAAGTTTTGCAGAACAAAGACTGAACATACATTTAATGTAATTCTTACCTTCACAACACATAGTTGCCAAATGGTACTCAAACCACCAGTGTCAGGAGCTGCACAGCCAGTATATATCCACCCTACCTGTGCATCTCAAGCCATTCATATTCCGACCTACCAAGACTGAAACAAGTCCCATTCAGTTTTCCTTCCTTATTCCATGTAAGAAACTCTTTTGAAAGCCATTTCTGCAAAGGCCCCACTCAAGTCCTCAGAAGCAGCACTACCTTCTCTGCTTGCAATTCAAGTGATTCARTAGAGGTTAGTGACAAAACTTGGCAAGTTCTCCAAGAGAATTATGGACCCCAGGCTCAGGGGGACAGAACGCTTCTCATTTCCAAGTCATGTCTAAAGCCAAAAGGAGTTTCAAAAATTTTCCACTCTCTACCACATTCTATTCCTGCTTTACATGACTTTGAAAGGAAACAGAAATTTCCTCATCAGACAAGACAAAGATGTGGAAGTTAATGACAACAGATGCTAAGATTCTTGGCTGATTCTCAGCCTTTGCAAAAGGAAAAAAAGGGGAAGTTTGAGGCAGACTGCAAGCAACGTGTACATGTTGGAGGAAAGCAACAGAACATTAAGAATTTCTACTAGATCTTATAGCTTTGCTTATGAGGTCTTAATTGCAGGAATGATTTATTCCCCCACCTCCAAAGCCCCATTACTCCTGCCTTCTTATCTTGGTACAAATGTGACGTACCAGATACGCAGTAACCTTCCAGTATGTGACAGTGCCTTAGCTTTTCAAGCCAGGCAGCTGTAACATCAACCCCTATCAACTTTCACCAATGATCAATGAAACAGCTGAAGACAGTTACCCAAGTTACAGAACTCACAGAGCATAAATGCAGACTTCACAGTACAAAATCCCAGGAAGCTTTAGCAGCATCCTGCAATTACACCTCATACTTAGGTTTTAATACCAGTTCCAACAGTAGGAATAAAAATAGCAGCTGACTGAACACTTGCATGCATTGGCAAGTATTTAAATAAATATCAGTCCAAAAATTAAAGAGACTTAAAGTAACTTAAAGTGACTTAAATGTCAAAACCAATACTTTTATTTTTGGATGTTTTAGGACTTAAGTTACAAAATACATAACAAAGCACATATCAGCTGTGGACTATAACCAGTGCTACTACTGTAGATTTTCTCTTGCATGATAACAAAGGAAATCTAAGGAACAAGTAGTACTCTCTGTGCACATGGTTCATAAAAAAATAATAAAAAAGTTATCCTTGAACATCTCCTTGTATGAGTTCCCCAGAGTATAAAACGTCATTCCTCTTGAAAATGAATCTAGGATAATGTCAACTGAATATATGAAGATTAAGACTTYATATTCTTCTATTATTATGCTGGAACTAGGTAAGAGCTATTTGCTAGCTTGCAGCCCAGGAAAAGGTTTGTTACCACTACAAAGGTACATGTGGACAAAAAAGACTATTCTGGTATGAGTTTCTTTTTTTATAAAGCCAATCACACCAACACACTAATCAACTAACACAAGGAAACATACCGAGAAGTTAATTTACACCATGTGTGTAGACCTTCTAAAATTTGTATTCTATTTACGTTTTGGCAATTCTTCTTCTTTTGAGAAGTAGGAATTAAAAAAAAATACAAAAAAGAGCCTGGTGGAAAAGAAATATAACACAGTGCTAAATATAACCAATAAGATATAGATGTGCAAGTCAAATGCCCAAAACCTACAGTCTTTTTTTTTTTTTTTTTTTTTTAGCCTCTCTCTTCATTAAGGTATAGAATACTCCACAAAACTTTTTGTGAATGAAATTTTTATTTACACACTGTATCCAGAAGCAGATACATAAATCCTTATACAAGTATTTTTCAAAAATGTGCAAGAAATTACTATAATTTTGTTTACAAACCAAAACACATTAAAATCAATGGACTTTGGATAATTCACTCTGCGGTGTGCTTAGTACAAATAGTGCACACCAGGTCTGAAACAGAGAAAAGTGTAAACTACAGCAATCTGGATTGCAAGTATTAACTTCATGGCACTCCATCAGCACTATAAAAATTCTTTAAGCCAGCACGTATTCATACAAAATTCTCTAAGAATTTTTCCTTATCTCTGTATAGAATTTAGAACACTTTCCAGAAACAGCAATGCCGTATTTCCCATTTTATGAACTACCGCCTAGCCCATTTTTAATTTATAAAGAATGGTTTTTTTTGTCTTTATAGTTGTAAAAAGATTAGAAGAAATTAAATAGGCAATCACTTTTATCCATAGCTTATCTCAGCATTTGTAAGTTTAGTAACAGAGAAATATTTCTCARTAGAATCATAGCCCATATATTGCTGGTATATTGTTTTAAATTTATACTTCTGGTATTCACATAGATGAAATGCATCACAAGAAAAACAGCACATTTTTTCACTTAGCCCAGCAGTCAATATTCATAAAAAGAAATCGGCTTTAACAAGATGTAAAGTCAGCTCATTTGAGAACAKAGTTTAATTAGTAATTGCATTTCTCATCTTTCTGACAGAAAGAGACTCTGATAAAAAGATGGCATTCACTGTGTCAACAGCAGGGTAAGTGCTATATCCTTCAAATAGATCAAAGAATAAAAATCACTTTCAGTTGTTTATAACACTGGTTTACAAAAAGAAAAAAAGAGAGCAAATTGTGCAAATTTACTTTTCTGTATCTAAACAAAAGAGTAAAACACCTTGTAATTGATAAAACAGTATCATGAAATGACTGAAGTTGCTGATAAGCTCAAAGAACACCCCCATCAGTTGTATTTCAAGGTTCTTCTATTCCCAAACATTTTTCCACAATTCAGTTGCATAAAAAGAGTAACTTTAGAMTTTTGTGCTAAATAAACAGACATTTTCCACTCTATAAGGACCACAGTCAGTTAGCTTTTAGTTTAGTGTATCTGCCTCTAAAGGTATGCAAAATATGCTCAATCGTTTTCTTTCTGTTTTTCAAGGACACTTTGTTCCTCTAACTTTTATCAAGCAGAAGTCAACACAATTTTTGTGGTTACTCTTGAGTACTTCTCAATTGTCTCATAAAATAATGTTACTGTAATTTTTTTGTGTGTTAATCTTCATTTAAAAAAAAAAAATGTAAGTATCCTTAATGCTTTCAAAGTCACTCTTCTATGTTCCTTTTCCTGGCGGGACAGTTATCTCAGAAAACAAACAGACAAACAAAAAGAATAATGAAAGTTGTAAAAGTATTTGTGTTTTCTTACTAGTGGATTTAAAGTACTTTGAGTTTAGTAGAAATATCACCATCATTTTTTATTTAGAAAGGAAGTGCTATATGGGTCTCTCAACCTAGGCCTCAACTATTTGTAAGTGTTATGTTGGATATCTTATGTAGAGAAAATAAAAGTAACGGTGATAGCTTGATCTGATTAAGTTCATAAATGAAGAACAAAGTGAGGAAAGCGATTCAAAATTGGATAGCTGAACCAAAGTTTATAAAGTATCAATATGTATGAGTGAGCAAACCGGAATTTATAAAGCATGGAAATTCAGCACACCTGCTCTTACACCCTTTCAATTCATCAACAAAACTCGGATATTATAGCTTCAGATATTTAAGTTTCAATGCAATGACTGCTTCATTAATTAATGCATGTGGCGTAACATAAACATTTTTAATGCATTCAATAGTGGCATTTAATGGCAGAGAAACTATTTAACATACTATAATCTTTCAAAGACTCTGTAAAATGCATAGAACCTTTAGCTTGAACAGGGATAGAATTTTTAAAGTGAAGAAAATGCCAGAGGGTTTCTTCTAAAAAGTGTGTGTCTGAAATTCATAGAGATGATTCTCTTATCCCACTCCCCACAGACGGAATCAGAACACTGTACCATGCAGTAAACTATTGTGCCTTTTTTGAATAAAGTTTGTGATTCTGATTCACAGGGGTGGGAGRAATGTCAGCAGAGGGGAAAAAGGAAACAAAATTTCACACTTGCATACATATATCTCCATGGCAGAGCCAACAAATTAGGCATATAGATTGCTCTAGATTAAGTTTAAAACTTTTTCAGACTAAAGAAGAAATCCTTATTTTCCCTCCCTTAAAAGCAAAGGCAGACTTTATCTACCTTTGATTTTTTTTGTTAAACATTATGGTCAAAAAATAAATTAAAAAAATATAAATTTAGTCTATCAATTCAGGCAACCCAAGATGTAGTGCTACCGCACCACCTTGCAGCAATACTGTATTCATTAATAAGGACTGGTTTCAGGGGACAAAAGGCTAGATTAAACAAGAAGAAAATGACCTAAACAAGAAAACTATATCCAAGACTAACAACTGTTCTCTCAGCTGATCTTTACTGACCAGCAACTTCTACAGTGACGGGGAAAATAACATTCTCAAATACAAAACTTTAGGGCGGCAGATATGGGGCAGGGATAAAGCAGGCCCCGCTCTCGAGTTAGCCAGGACCCCATTAACAAGYAACTTAGAGAAGTGATAGGCCAGGGGGCACAGGCAGGGTGGGGAAGCAAAACAAAATAAAACAAAAAAAAATCATGAAAATGCCATGAATTAACCTTCAGTGAGGAAAATGGTACAATGTAAAAGCTGTACGTCCAATGGAAAGTCATTTTTTTTCCCCTAAAGCAGGTCAGAATAATTTTAAGCGTTTCAAATGCCAGAATCTTTGACAGGGATCAGAAACATCTACTTAATTGATTCAGTACTTCACATGTCAAAATATACTGCATGAAAGCTAACACAAACATTTTCTGTGGTCAATGTACATTAAAACCCAAACTCCCTTTTCTCCATAATTTAACAGGCTATGAAAACAGAGCTTTAGAGATATATTTGGAGAATCTTCCATCCAAACTATCATCAGTCCTGTCCCTCCCTCCCAAAGATTCAGAGGTCATTAGTGTATTACTGAATTTGAGAAGTGGAAATGCAGAGAAAGGGGAAATGTTAAAATTCCACATAGCTTAAACATATATAGTAGAAATCATCCCAGAGGAAGGGAAGCTATTCAAAAATTTTTAGCACATCTTTAAAATGCTTCTCAACTTATGTKCCCAAACAAGGATTCCTAGAGTCATCCTACAGATCTATGTGTTTTTTTCTTAGTCAGAGGGAGGTAGGAAAGGGAAATATAGGAAAGACAGGACCTCGTAGATGTTCATTTATTTAACTGATTTCAGAACATAATGTTTTTCAGGATCTCAATGCTGCAATCTCCATATAGATACTACACATTGACTTTCAAAGACTTTTTTTTTAAAGGCCATTTTTAGAAGGACRAAATACTGAGACAAGAAGAAAGCCAAACCAACTTCCTCAAACACAAAATGGTGAACAGACAATATGAGGTCTATGAGAAAGGTGTTTTTTTTTTTCCCAAAGATATGCTGCATAACCATGTTTTTATCAAACGGCTCTGTCTATAAATTCTACATTAGGGCACATTTCTATAGAAATTTATAATTCATATGCTAGGAAATAATTTTTAACATATACGTAAATTCTGTAATTTAGAATACCAATAAGTTTTTCCATGATCATCTTTTTCAATAAGCTATTTTAAAGAAAAAAAATCCATTCAACAAGTTTCATTTGACTTTTACTTATGGTTGGATACACATGAAATGTGCTTTCAATGCATAAAAATCACAGTGGATAGCAGCAAAGGACTTGGGGGAAATTAAAGGAGAATTTGATCATTCACATTGTGATTAATCTGCACATTGATGAAAGATAGCTATTTCACACTTCTAAAAATAAACTTGAGATCATTCTTTCAAAAAAAAAAGAAAAAAAAAAAAAGAAAAAAAGCGCCCCCAAAATACACAAAATCCCCCAAACAAACAAAAACCCCAAAGCATTACTTTTCTTTTACACACACACACACACACACAAAAAAAAAAAAAAAAGAAATATCGTTATGGCAGCAAAAGATTTTGATAATAACCAAAGTCTGTAAACTGTAATTCAGTCTCTTCTTGTTGTCGTTGTTCCCAAAGTGCAAGATGCAAGATTCCCACGAGCTATCAGTAGTGCTTTTCCTGTAAATAATCCTTCATTTTGTTTGGCAAAGGCAGTTTCTGGATCAGGTCTATCCGGGTGTACTGACGTATTACAAAGCGRCACAGGTACTGCAAGGAGCGCACCTGCATGAAGCGGGACACGGGGTTCGTCAGTCTCACCGGGTACGTGGCYGATCCGGGCAGCCGGGATCTCGAGTAGCAGAAAGCTCCGTTTTCAGAGTCCCTGATGGAGTGTTCAATTAAGTCAACTATAGACGTGTGTCCCTCCACATCCGGCTGTTCATAAAAGCTAAACCTACCATTCGAATGTTCGATTCGAGTGTGAAGTGTTTTCCCATGGGAACGAAAACTCAAACTTAAAAGGTATCGGTCGTCGGAACTGTCGCGAACAAGAAAGGAGCCATCAGGCACGTTTGCTAGCTTCCCCTCTGCCTCCCAGCGTGTAATGGGGCCCCAGTACCACCCCTGCTTTGCAAGTTTTTTCAGTTCTTCCGTCAGACTGGTCACCACCATGGGACCACTGTTCTGTACAGAATCATAAACTCTTCCAACTCCAGGGGCAGTGTTAGGATCAAAATTCAAATGGCAGCGCATGCTTTCGGCCACGTGGCCATCTGTGCCATTCAACCCACTAAAGTTCCTTTGGATTTGATTATTCTGCATTGGAGGTAGCAAAGGTGAGAGTGGAGGGACGTCACCGTGATTCACTCTTGGGCTCTGCAACATGACTCCCGTGGTACCAATCAACAAGCCATTCACCGTCGGGTCCACAAAGATATCCGGTGCAACAACTACATCCTGATCCACTTGACTCTCCTCTTCAAGGAAAGCACTTCCTCCCATTTGAGACGAAACAGTTGAAACTTCCATGGGTGAGGAACTATCCAGACAGTAACTACGCGATCCTTCCAAAGGATACATTCCCTCATCTAAAGGCACAGTATACTGAATGTAGTCCTGAGGCATTAATCCAATAACTACAGGCACATGTTCATCAAGGTGAAGATGCAAGTCCCCATTCTGAGACTCCGTATTTTTTAATGTGTTATTTTGTTCCTGGAACACGTTATCTGACTGCAAGTCATGGAAGTCCTTTCGAACACCATTCAGTGCTGGGCTTGGATTAGAGGAGTGGACCAACGCCTTGACTTTCACTTCCATCTTGATACAAGTCTCTTCCGAATTTGTAGGTCGAAGGGGCCACGGAGTTGGACTGTAATGGTGATTACGGAGGGAAGTGGATCTCAGAGGTCTCTGCGCTCGCACATCCTTGAAGGTGATTGGGGCAGAAGAGGAAGAAAAGGTATCATCATCCGCAGAGCTTACGGACGGCGTGCTGCCTTTGCCCTTCTGCTTTTGCTTTGCCGAAAGCCTCCTTTTTAGCGTACCCATTAAGCTCTCACTTTTTGATCTATTTTTGCCTCCTTTTTCATCTTCACTATTGACTTCACAGCTAGCCAAATCTTTACCATAGCAGCTGCCAAACAACGAGTCATCTTTTCCAAATTCGCTTAATGATGGCTGCTGAACCACTACAAAGTCACTTTCATCTTTGCTTTTATTTAAGTTAAAGGACTTGCGAATTGTTTTGAGACTAATTTTCTTCATTATGACAAGTTACCAGCTCCGGCTGATCAGCAGTGCTTCTGGAGATAGAGTCCTAACACATGCAGAGCAGCTTCTGCTTCATTGGGAGGTTTTATCCAGTCTCATTTAACTTCAAGAGCCATTTCCTGGAAACAAATAAAAAACAATTAACTTCACAAAAGAAATAGTAGAAGTTATCCATAAGTTCCAACCCCCTTCCCAGAACAGAAATTGTAGTACTTAAATAATGGGCATCATATAAAAGTAAATATAGCTGGAAAGCAATCAAGCTTAAAAAAAAAATGAATCTCTCATCTGTCTTGAATTTATTCAGTCTTCTTCTATATTTACAGTTCAGTTTAGACATAATATATATCACATAAATATGTTTCTGTATGTATATATAAATAGAACAGTWATCATAATTATAGGGAAATTAGTTGTAGTCCAATAAATTCGCTTGAGCAGGGCCCTCAAATTAATGCAAAACAGCATTTATTTTGAGCAAATCACAGGAATCCCCTCCTCAACTTTTATGAAAGAAGAGGTGACAGATTTCCAAACTCTGCATTAGTCACATGCGGTTCCTCCAATCCTGACAGGTCCTGACGGAGGCCGGATCCCAGGCTGCCCATGCCCTGCGCTGCTGCCTTTCTTCTTCCAACACTTCTGACAGACACATCCACCCAATCCCAGCCGACTGCTCCCCCCGGCATCCTCCAGAGCCACGTCTTCCTCCTACCCTCCAAATTTGACTCTCCAGCTTGTTTTTCTTTGATGCCAGCTAAAGTCCAAAGCAAGGCAGCTCTRCAGAGAGGAGAATAACAAGAAGGGGAAGGGAAGGAGGAGATGGATGGGCCTGGCCCGTTTTGTCGCTGCCAAGCAGTAGAGCCTGCCCCAGCAGTAGCCATTATTCCCAGGTATTTCCATTTCCAGGCCGTGTTGGCAGGATGAACTGCAAGGGAATCCTGGCTCTGGGCTGAACATGGCAAACTGGAGGAGACGAAGGGCACCTTGTTGAGATGTATTTCCAGTTTGCAGCATCGGAAAGACCGAACCTCCCTTTCCTGCAGCCCTGCCCTCTTTTCTCCCGTGCAATCACACCACTTGCAACTGAGAAAAACAGGCAYGAGCAGAAACCACAGCAACTAAGCAAGACGATTTTCTAAAATTTAACATTGCAAAAACAGCGTAAAAGAATGAAAGGATAATCATTACTGTAACCAAAAAAACAAAATCGTAGAATCATAGAACGGTTAAGGTTGGAAGGGACCTCCAGAGGTCATCTAGTCCAACCCCCCTGTACACGCAGGGTCACCTAGAACATGTGGCTGCCCAATCATTCATCATTATCATTAGACGAGTGCACGSTGAGGTGGATCGAGGGCTGGCTGCATGGCAGAGCTCAGAGGGTGGTGATAAATGGGGCYGAGTCCAGTTGGAGGCCTGTGGCCAGTGGTGTCCCCCAGGGGTCAGTACTGGGCTCGGTGCTGTTCAATTTGTTCATCAATGACCTGGACGAGGGCACGGAGTGCACCCTGAGCAAGTTTGCAGATGACACCAAGCTGGGTGGAGTGGCTGACACTCCGGAGGGCTGTGCTGCCATCCAGAGGGACCTGGACAGGCTGATGAGTTGGGCAGAGAGGAACCTCATGAGGTTCAATAAGGACAAGTGTAGGGTCCTGCACCTGGGGAGGAATAACCCCAGGCACCAGTACAGATCAGGGGTCGACCTGCTGGAGAGCAGCTCTGCAGAGAGGGACCTGGGAGTCCTGGTTGACACCAAGTTAACCATGAGTCAGCAGTGTGCCCTCGTGGCCAAGAAGGCCGATGGGATCCTGGCTGCATCAGGAGGAGTGTTGCCAGCAGGTCAAGGGAGGTGATTCTGCCCCTCTACTCAGCTCTGGTGAGGCCTCACCTGGAGTACTGTGTTCAGTTCTGAGCTCCCCAGTAGAAGAGGGACGTGGAGCTTCTTGAGAGGGTCCAGAGAAGAGCAACTAGGATGATTAAGGGAATGGAACATCTCCCGTTCGAGGAGAGGCTGAGTGARCTGGGCCTGTTTTCTCTGGAGAAGAGAAGGCTGAGAGGGGATATGATTAACATGTCTAAGTTCAAGAAGGGAGAATGTAGGGAAGAAGGGGACAAGCTCTTTTCATTGATGGCCAGCGATAGGACAAGGGGTAATGGCCATAAGCTGAAACACAGGAAGTTCCATCTCCAGGTGAGGAGGAACTTCTTTACTGTGAGGGTGACAGAGCAGTGGAACAGGCTGCCCAGGGAGGCTGTGGRGTYTCSTTCTCTGGAGGTCTTCAAAACCTGCCTGGATGCYACCCTGTGCCACATGCTCTAGGTGTGCCTGCTTGAGCAGGAAGGTTGGACTAGATGATCTGTAGAGGTCCCTTCYARCCTTRAATATTCTGTGATTCTGTGATTATTTTGATTCAGACCTACTCTGATGGTATAAACACTAAGAATAACTTCCTCAAGAACACAAAAGATTAAAGGATCATATCCAAAGCTATCTAAAAAAACACTGTGAGGAATTGTTCAAAATATAAAGATTTTGGAACTTCAAATTAMCTTAAATACTTTTAAAAGGAAGCCCTGTTTCAGGAGAATTACTGTTCTCATTAACAGCAGAATCCCAAGGTTTGATTTGCTATGGACTTGTTTCCTACTTCTTTCTTCAAGTTCCCCACACCACCCACATCAGAATATCTTGAATATCTTGAGGACCTATTTTGCCCTTGCTTTACCCTCTAATGTTATCCACATCCACCTTATCCATCTTTATAATATCTTCAGTTAAAAAAAAAAAAAAGCCAAGAATCACTCCTTGCAAAGAACAAGTATTAAAATGATAAAAAAAAAAAAAAATACTCCTAGTATTTCATTACAAGTTTTCTGCTTATTTTTGACAATGCTGAGCTTGAACAAGTCAGACTCCATAGAAAAATACATTTCCTTTCAAATTGTGAAGAAAATATATTGAGATACAGGTATGTTCTTCCAGAAACCAAGACCCTACTTTTCTGTTTGTTTAAGATAGAAATATGCAAAATCAAAAAAAAAAAAAAAAAAATTTAAATTTATGCTCAATAGGAGCTTCATAGGAGCAGTTTTGAAAGAATTAATAATTACTGAAATGCTTTAAAAAAAAGTGCATAATATATTAAATGTTTCAAGGTTTTTAATACACTTGAAGTCTATGATATCAGAACAAACGACAAAGAACAGGGATTGGGAAAAAGACACAAATACGGAAAGCCAGAGAGCCACGTGCCGCGTAGGAGCCAGCCCCAAGCGCCTCAGTGCCATCCTGCTCCTGAAGAGGAACGACAACTCCAGCGTTTTATGCGATCCGCAACCACAGCGAACCCGAGCACGTGGTTTATTTAACCGTGTCCCATGCATCTAACACCACAAGCCSTGTAACACCCCAGCCCCGCTTAGGAAACCCGCACTGCCCTGGAGCTGGTTTCAGGTCACGTTCAAGAGCCGACATTGCTTCGATGTGCCCAAATTTGTTCCCCTCATGTCTCCAACATATACCGATCACTGCTTGCAGCTCCTAACCCTATAAAGGAAAGCACAAAAACAAGAGCAAAAGCTGCCTTATACTCTAGAGAGGAATTTAAAGAGAATACAATTATACAACTGAAYGCAGAGATACTCCGCTGCTTGATTCACTCTTTTTTAATTGGTGTGCTTAATAAGAATTACCATTAGCTAAAATTGGGCTGATGGAGCTACATCTCTTCGGTTATGGAGAAGCTAAAAGAACTAAGTGAACCACTTTAAGGAATAGATTTTTATCGCACACTAGCTCTTCCATATCAGAATGTGTTTTTACAATTGAAAACAAAGTATCTAAAAATAATCTCAAGAGATAAATCTCTATGGCAGCAGGGAGAAAAGCTGGCATTTTGGGCTGTGAGAGCAATCACTGAGCAGGCTTTTGCACAAGTGCTTTATATCCSTCAGCCTACCTTGGTAGCCACTATTTTTATCAAGCAAAAAGCCACCGAAATGCATAAATCATTACTTATATTCTTATCGTATTTCATATAAGGAAATAAAGGCTGAAGTTCATACAAACTGTATCAGATAGAGAAAGAACCTATCTTGGAGCTCAGTTCACTCACGCAAGAGAAGACCATAAAATCCCATGGGAAGAGTCCGAGCCAAAGCCAAACTGAAAACACTGTCAGTTCAGAGCACAGCTCTTAACYGGTTAAGTTCTTCATATAAGAACTACTTAATGCTGCAATACCTTTTATGATATTTTTGCTTTCTCCTGTCTTGAGTAACAAAATCCTAAAGACAAATACCCCAGCTGATCCAGATATATTTCCTTCTTTGCCTATCTTTAAGAAATACCAATAGTTCTGCATTACATACTCATGCATTTTAAAAGCCCTCTTTGCACGGGCCTCAGCRTAAGGTTTATTTATATCCTTGCAGGAATAAAATTATTCACTGTCTACATCCAGAAGAGCTGGAGCAGAACCGCTAAGCCTGCATTCCTCCCTGGAACACACTGAAACGAGCGGATGAATTTCCTCACGCGTCTCAGCACTGCAGCAGCTTTGCTGCTTTCTGCAGGAATTACGGTATTCCTTAGTCGTCCCATGGATGTGCTGCTCCTCCAGGCGCATCTGCTGTACAGGGAGCTTCGAAAGGCTGACTGCAGACACCTCTGGAAAGCCTCTGGGAGGTGGCACCACTGCAGACTTGAACCCATGCTACAGTACCCCCCCAACATCTGGCAACTATCTAACTAGTAGAAATCCTCAAAACATGTTTCTTGTTTCATTATTTGCAGAAGTATAAGGGGCTCTTTCCCCATTAAACTCTAAAATCTATCTATCCATCATTTGGAAGCAGGGAATCAACAACAGCATCTTAAGGTATCACAGGTTAAATGCCTTATTTTGGAAAGAATGACTCTCTAAATTTATTCCAGAATTCCTAAATCTATTAAATGCCAATTGCTAGGGACTTGCCCTAGATACACGTCCTCTTACACTAGCAGCTTCTGACAGAACATACAGACCACAAGGCAGCTCTCAGCTTTCTTACAGACCACTGGCATAYTGAAGATGGGAAGAGGAATTCCCCTTCCTTGATTTACTCTTCCTCCTTCCAAGTAAATTCTGACATCAGATTATTCTTTAATATAGAAAGATTTTAAATAAAGCCATTTAAATTTCCCTTGAGATGTTGACGGTGCACACTACCTATAAAACAACAGCAAAGATTAATGGTGTTAGCAGTGGCTTGCTCAGTAACGTATGAGCACTGCTTTAAGGAAAGCAGCAAATTTTATAAAAGCACCTTCTGCACAGAACATTTGCTGCCGTTCACATTGAACATTTGAAGCAGTTCACATAGCTTCACAAAGAACTGGAACAAGTTTTGGTTTGGGGGTTTGTTTTAAGAAAGAAAAACAGATGAGAAGCCTTCCAGGAGTACTGAGAGCTCCCTTTTTTTTAACAGGACACTAAGCAGATATTACTCATTCCATACTTAAACGTCTAGCTCCTAAGATGTGAACACCTAAGACAGTTTCCTTTCTCTAGGGGCCAGTACAGAACAGTAGTCATGATACAGATTCAAAATTCAATCAAGCAAAATAAAAAATAATTTAAAAAAGGAAACAAGCAAAACAAACAAAACCCTGGTGTCACAACAGTTCTGCTATTTTTCTTTCTTTCTACAAAAATTAAAACTTTAAGTGAAARCAGTCCACAGGCACTCACGTTCAGACAACGTACAGAGTAACCCTTGTAAACTTCAATGGCGAATAACCAAGAGTGCACTTAGGAGAGAGTAACTGCAGTAACCATGAGCAAACTTTAGCGGAGAATAAGCAAGGTGTGCATTTAGTACCAAGTAGAAGCTCATCCCCTGCCGGAGAGCGACCCTAGCAGGGGCTGCCGGAGCTGCCGCTCCGACCCTAGCAGGGGCGGCCGCTCTCCGAATCCTCTCGCCAACAAGGATCAGGATCCACAGGGCAGCCCATGGAGTTGGCACCGCCTTGTGTCAGGCCGCCATGCRGATCCTGAGGGTTTTTCTGGGATGAAGGAGACGAGGGAAAAGAACACAGGGTAAAAATCCAGCCACTCCTTGGCTTTGTTGCCRAGGAGGAGAAAGTAGGAGGAGGGACAAAAAGGAAGAGGGAAAAGGAAACCAACGTACTCTAAAGCACTGAAAAAGTTAAAATTGAAGCATTTTTATCGAGTAAAATCACCAAAGAAACCTGAGGTGTACCGTGTGTGTACGTATGTTTCACTGCAGAAAATGTCTTCTACTGAATCCAAGTAAATCTTTTCTTCTTTTCCTTTGACATACAGATGTGCAGAAGCGGGCTAAGAATGGCAATAATGTTCAGTCAGGCTCTGTCTTTATTTCTTGTTATTCTACAAGAGGGCAGGTAGACTGGCTGTCAGAAAAACAGAAATAAAAAAAAAAACAATAACAAAAAAAGATTTAAATTCACAGGGAAAGGTTAGACTTGATGGGAGATGAATGAGACTCCCTCTTCCAGGTAAGGTTCCCGCTGGCTTCTCGAATCCTGACAGAAGACAGATGCACCAAAATGTTTTTCCTCTTTTGTAAGGTATGGTGGTACCCTCAGCATGRTAACAGCGAGCCTTATCTAAGCTTTCTTAGTTTATTTATATATAGCATATATAGCAATATATATGCAAGTATRTACATATGTATATGCATTACATACATATATCTACACACGCATAGCTCCAGGCAGATCTATATATATACGTTATAGTAATGACCAGAAGTTCAAGACTGCAGCCCTCTCCAAAAGAGCTTCTCAACATTAGTAGTGAGGAACAAAACCCTGTTCTGTAAAAAGGAGCATTTTAAAAAGCAATTTTACTATAAAAATTTTATAAAGCTACCTGTAAAAGCCAGTACATAATTTCCTACAATAATAAAATGGTATAAATTGTATACATTAAAATGATAAGGAACAGATTCTGTGCCTACTTATTGTATAACAGATGAGAGTATTTGAAATGTATATAGTGAAAAGGAAAGGAAGAAGCGGAAAGACAAAACCACGGCAAATTTGCATTTCTGTGCTGCTTCTTAGAGAGTAGTAAGCACAGATGCATGAATCCTGGAATATGTGCTGAAAAAAACATCACCTGTCCAATTCTATGGATGCAGGCACCACAAACTCGTTCTAAATGGAGTTTGTGTTTGAATACCGATGCATTTCCACAAGCAATTTTAAAAACACTGTTCATCTATTTTTAAAGCTTACGCCAGAAAGACAGAAGTACATTAAACCAGATAAAACCCGTACATTAAACATGTTCTTGGAGCTGTTTTCTGCTCTGCCCCAACCTGACCATTCTTTCAATATTATCGACTGAATGGTGTGACCGTCTCTCGCCCCAYGCGACTCCATGGCCGACCCCACGGGGCAGAAGGGATGCACGGAAACTTCCCGCTCCGTTAACGCACGCAGGGCCAGGCCTGGGTGCAGACAGACTAGATGCATTAACTGCATTTGCTTTAACTGAGTGACAAAAAAGACAGAAAACAGAAGCCGACAACCTGAGCAGAAGGAGGGGGAAGCAGGAAAAGCAGGAAAAGCAGGAAAATCCTCGTGCCATTTTGCTGCTGAGGGCTTTGGAGTCTTACCAAGGATCACTGGGCACTTTTACACAGTCCTCTTTCTTACTTGCTAGGATAAGCACATTTTGGGTTGTCATTCTCCCTGGACTAAAAGCCAATTTTCTGAAGTTTGATTTCTGTCTAACTTATTTGACATGAAAATTAAAATTAGTTGCAGTTTAAAAACTGGAGGGTTAAATAGCACTTACACAACATAACACCAAACAAAGTATGACAGATAATGCTAATTATTCTCCCCTAAGGTGCAATGTGGAATACACCTTCTTGGGCAGCAGAGATGAAAAACCTGAGCAACACCTCAGGAGAGCTACAAAGCCTTTTTCATTAAATAAAAAGAGTCAAAGCTAAGCCTAGCTTTCACTTCTAATTTTTAATGAGGTTTTTATTAGGTAGGTGCTTGTAAAACCCATATCTGAACCAGCAAGCTGTCAACTGCTAACTTTTCCATTACCATTTATGCTTATCTGACCAGATGACAGGGAACCCTCACCTGCAACACACGTCGGTAAACTGGCCTTTGCTCCTACAAGTAACATTCACCTGTGATTAAAGATTTGCAAAAAGAGAAACAAAATTCTGCACAAATTCCTTCAAGGTAGCGCAATTACTTTCAAAGTGTCAGGCTGGGGGTGGTGGGGGAATCACCTTTGCAAGAATATAACAAGAACTTTTTAATTTAAACAAACTGGGAAGGAACAAGCTCTTTTTCATGTCATAATCCAAATTCAGATATCTGAAATCTATCCCATTAGTAACAAAAGAAACACTGTTRAAAGTCTAAAAGAGAAATTTATTCCACATGGAGTTCGCTAATAACTTACATCGCAAGAGCTGAAACACAAGAAACACAAGAAGCTGAAACAGGCTTTTWAAGTAAGCAAGTGGTAGTTAGCAGCAAAATTCACCATGAAGAAAGAAAAGAAGAAAGCATTCTGCTTTTCCACTGYAGCAAGCATACGAAGACTCTACAACCAGAATACCAGCGCTTGAAACAGAATCAGTTTTCCMGCATTAGCCTCCCCCATAGGCCGCATGGATGCGCGGCAGTGCCGTATTCCGCAGCCTCGGTGCCTCCCACGCTGCCCGGCTCCTGCGCCTCATCCCGGTCCTGCCTGGGGCTCCACTCAGCCTCAGGGGCACCAGTTTCTGGAAGGGCCTCAAGCACATTTCACCGCCTGGTGACATCTCCAGGCTCCTTCTGGCTGCCGCTGGCACCTCCACACATCACCCTCAGCCGCAGGAGCAGCAGGAGCGGTTTTCCTGCACCACTCAGTGCCACTCCGGCCTCTCCAGTGCAGCAGCCCTTTATCACTGTGGCCCAGGTAGCCCAAGGAAATGGGAAGACTAAGCGGGYCCATTTGCAGCAGGAGCGGGAGGTGAGCGCACTGACTCCGTCAGAGAGACACGGAGGGGAAAGCTCCTTCCGACGCCACCCGCACAGCGTCCTCGTCAGCAGGAACCGGCGGGAAGGGGCAGTTAATAAAGAACATTCCCCGGAGTCACGGGCAGGAGGGAATCAACCTCCCTTCTGTGCTTTTTCAAGCTGRAAGCACAACACTCTTGCCACAACGATACCACTGAGAACCCGGCCCTTCTCCTCTGGGCCCTACAGAAAGTTTAAGGCCAAGATGGCCCAATATTCACCTCCTGTATCACGGCATTCAGTTCAAATCAAAGACTTGAGAAATTTCCAGCTCTCAGGAAGAATCCCACTTCTGTGGATTTGCTGGTTTTGTGCACATAAAACCAGCAGCTACCTATAATTTCTAATAGAGGGAAATCCTCGYGGAATACAAAGACAACTGTTACTCAGGTCACTGCCTCGGATGCAAAGCAAAAGCAATCTTCTTTTTGTGAAATTCTCACAGATGGGTTTTATTTATTCATTTATTACAGTGACGCTTTTCCACAGTAATAGTCAATCCTTTTACTACAGCTGTACATCATTAACACAAATGTAATAGAAGTGTAACATAAAAAGTATGCACCTGTTCAAAATTAAATATATTTTAAGTTAAATACAAATATACAGAGTAATTGGAATTGAAAGCTATTGGCTACATTTAAATAATAATTACTTTTAGTCAAACAAGGGCTTCCCAACCCTCGAAGTAATAACTAAATAAGTGTTTATATACCACTGCAACTCATGCAAACTAYAGGTTACTTCTCAAGAAGCTCAACTTCTTCAACACTTCTCAAAAACGCAGAGTCAAACTCACGTTCACTGAACACAGTTTGTTTTTGGCCTTATTTCCCATAGAAACAAAGCTTGAACAAACAAGGCTCTGGGTATCTGGGGCCWTCAAGCCCAAGGTTTACCAATAAGCAGGTAGGTAGAAAACCCCAATTGAGGGACCAGCCATAGCCAAAATTCATACATCAGGTGTATAGAGAGTCCAATGTGGGGGTGTTTCTACAYATAGGAGAAACCTTTTCTGGAGTTAACAGACATTTCCAAAACCAGGGAGGAAACTAMCAGAGTTAAACCGTTTCATTGCTCATGGAGTCATGTGTTTCATAAAGCTTCACTGTAATGCACACACAAAAATATATTTTTATCTACAACCATGAATAAATTGTGAGTAGAAGCATTTCTTAGGAAAGAAAAAGTCTTAGACAATACTTTTTATGCTACTGTAAGAAATCATTACCAAAAATATTAAAAATTGAACTTTTTCTACATATCATATTAGGTCAAAGCTTCCTGAGAGTTTTTACTTCTGAAATGATCAGTAAGTTTCACCAGCAATTTTATTTTCCTGAAGTTTTTTGAATATAGCCAGTCAAATAATCAAAGACCGCTTCTATGGCAACCCGTGATGAGCAGTAGTATTCTGTGTTTTCCCTCTTAAGCAAGAGAATACTGAGKGAGTCATTTCATAACCTTTGCCTGAACTATGCATATAGAAAACATATGAGATAATTACATTAAGGCTAAAAGATCAAGAACTCAGAAGCTGAGAAAAGACAGAAGGGCTCCCTGTACAAGACAAAAATGTTTACATTAACTCTACTTTCCATCACCATCTAAAATGCATGGTCCTTGTCATTTCTTCACAGGATACTAATACACTCCAAATTCCAGAGCCTTCAGACAGAATTATTAGTATCATTAAGGAAGTTTTKGCTCTGCTCCACATTAGAACACAAGAGAGTTACATGTCCAACATTTTTAAAAACAGAATTATAAGCTGAAGACCAACTTTATTTTAATTTATTATAATATAGACCCTTTCAGGTAAAGTTAAGGTCATTCACTGGGAAAACTTGATTCTGCATTTTCACAACTTAGAGTGATATGAAGATATATATGTTATATATATCTTCATATATAGACAGAGAGA